TTCTTCCGACGAATATCATCATTTTCATATCGCTTTTATTAAAAAAGCATGTGGCTACGAGTCACCAATTTTGTTTATATCATTGCTAACATTATTATATACAACATATCAGTTTTTTAAAAAGTTCGTAAATTCCGATTCCTTTCATATCAAATTTAATGTGCGTTTCATGACGGCATGGAATAGGGCTTACATGTTAAATTCGTGAACTTTGAAACGAAATATTTCGCTTATCCTGTGGCTACGACATCTGAAATTTTAAGGAATGATTGTTATGCATACGATCAACATATGCTAATTTTTTTAGAATTTTAATAAAATTTTCAATTTACTCGACTACCTCCTTAAGGGGGGATACCACCCTTGAGGCCTGAAAATGATACTTAAATTTGGCAATTTTTTGCAGTAAACTAATAAAGTTAATCGAAAATCGTTTAAAGGGCTTTAATATATAAAGTTTTGAGAATACAAAAAAAATTTTATTTTCATCTCACAAGATGGCGGCGTTATAGTAGAACCATTGAGCCTCCTTTTTCGGTGAGTGTATAAACGGTATACACGAAATTTTGTATATCATTGGATCTGAAACAATAATCCAACGAATTTTATTTTCTACATACTTAAAGCTATAAAAGTACGTAGGGTTTTTTCAAAATATTGATTTTTGTAAAAATGGTCAATGTTTGAAAAAAAAATTACGATTTTTGACCAAAAATTTCCATCTTTAAATGTTAATAACAAAAAATTTTTCAATATATTGTAGTTCTTTAGATTAAATATCTGAGAATAATCTGTGCAAATTTCAAGTGAATCGGTTAAGAATTGTAAAAGTTATCATGTACACCGTTTTTTAAAACCTTGTTTTGAGAAAAACGCGTTTAAAGTTTTTAGTACTGATTTTTCGAAGCAATACTAATAGCGTCTTAACAATTGTGTAAACATTCAAAGAGATGCCACCTGTACGTATAATGTTAGGCCGGTATTCATAGGGTGCTTTCCAGCAAGGGACACAGTCAGACACAGTGTAACACAGTGAATCATACATCCTTGTTGTTTGCTTACGTTAAACAAGGATGAAACGATTCACTGTGTTACACTGTGTTTGATTGTGTCCTTGCTGGAAAGCACCCATAGTCAGATCTTATATTCAAGACTGTCTTAAGTATGATCTTAAGAAGTCGCAAACCAATCAGAGGGGTGCATTAGCGTCTTAAGACATTACTTAAGACGGTCTTGAAATAAGAATCAACTATGAATACCGGGCTAGGTGTTAATCTTAATTCCTATCGCTCGCTACTAGAGGGTGCTGGCTCCAACGCTGGCGAGTTTCGACGATGAAGTCATATGTCTTTTGTAGTTTAGACATCGCTGAACGTAATTCAATCACAGGTTAGATTTCTCGACATCAAAGAGATTTTCCAATCGATTGAAAACGAATCGCGATAAGCTGTTTTTCCGACATGTGCTTCTTCACTACTTCTACCTCAAGAAAACCGCAGCTGAAGCGCATCGCTTATTATCCGAAGTGTATGGTGATGAAACTCCATCGGAAAAAACATGTAGAGTTTGGTTTGAACTCTTCCGAAACGGTGATTTTGATGTGAGAGACAAAGAACGTCCAGAACAGCCGAAAAAATTTGAAGATGTCGAGCTGCAAGAAGTGCTTGATAAGAATCCAGCTCAAACGCTTTTAGAGTTGTCGAAACAATTAAATGTTACTCCAAAGGCCGATTGAGTGACGAATTGATGCAAAAAAGATCATCCGTAGCCAACAATCGAAAGTCATTTTGTTGCATGATAACACTCGACCGCATGTCGCGAAAAGCGTGAAGCAGGCACTTCTAGAACTTGAATGGGAAGTTCTGCCGCACCCAGCGTACTCTCCAGACTTGGCACCGTC